CTGTGGGTGTGTGGATATAAAATATCCTTTAGGTCTATCTTATACAATAATATATGGTTAAATTGGTTGATTTACCACAAGAGGTAATTATATGTTGCTTAAATAAGACAAGACAGATGATTTACGTTCGAAAGAGAAATCTAGACGTCACACTTGCAATAAAGATTTAAAAGGTAATACCGGCTCGTCGATCGTACAATATTCCTTATGAATATGTGTTTCATGATGAAGACCAAAAAAATTATGCTTTACGATAATAGATTATATTTGTCGATATTTAATGGATTTTATGTGGATGATTATCTGCATATAGTTAATGAAGTGCAACCGTTACCAAGCGTTGAACATGTGGTCATGATCAGCTGCTAGCCTGTGGATGGATATGACATATGACATCTTCTCCTATATATTTCCCTGCATGTATTGTATATTCATATATGAAAACCGATACTATGAGAGTAGATATGCATATAAATATATTACGTGGACCACTTAGCTTTCCAACACTCTATTCCCGATAAATAGAAAAATATTGAATGGGAACCAATTACTTGAACTATCAATTTTTGACTGATCAAATTGTACGTGAGAAAGTCGGCCATAGTTAAATGCAAAGGTTGAAAGTGCTTGACTATATATATATGTCTAATGCAACGTAATAAATAAAATTTTAGATGATCAAATATAATTAGTAATGTTTGTTTGTGATAAATAAAACTAGTAATATTATTTTAATAGATTGAAATGTATATACATAGGTTTATAAACAGTGAAGATTACGAAGGAGGGTTTGAGTCCAAAGACATTGAGACGATCATCACTAACATTGGCTCCAACTACGAGGCATGGGCAGCTGCATTCTCCTCGATTGTGGTCGACCCGAGAGACTCTGTCTCGGTCCAAAGGTTCGAGAAAAGCCTGAAGAAGATGAAGCCCGAGACGGCTCTGGCCTTAGCTAAGATAGTGTTTGGCAGCGACGAGAGAGAGCTCTTGGGTCAGGTGTCAGTGCCTTGCCATTTCATACAGCCAGGAAACGACGTCGTTGTACCTGTCTCTGTCGCGTACTTCATGCAGGAGAAGATCAAAGCGAAATCGACGGTGGAGATCATCGAGAACGCGATAGGGCATTTCCCACAGATGACATCACATCTGGAGCTGCTTGACATCATGAGGCGCCTCCTCGAGTTTTGAGGCTTGATTATAAGAATTTGCGTCGATCAATCAATATTCTTCTTGTCTATAGAGTATCTTTAGTAATATAATGATGAAGTCGCTCTATGCATGAGTATTTATATATATGTTTCTGTAAGTGTACAAGTGTAATGTGAATGTGTATCTGGTTGGTAGTACAAAGTAACTTTCACAACTAGATTATTGTGTTGGAACCAATTTTTTATTAAAATCAAATGGGCTTGTTATAGACATTTGGGTATGAAAAATGGGTTTAAAATATGAAGGTGAAATGAGATAAGGCTTTTNGGCTAAATGGNAAAGCCCTTATGTTGGTTTAATGTATGCACACTTAAAATNTCCCACATCTAAAGTTTGAGACATTTTGGTAGTGTATATATAAGGGTGAGCTTGTGTAGAGTTCAAAACATTACAAGGACACACATGCACCATGAA